TACATCACAATGTTTCTAATTCTAACTGAATTTTCAGTTTTAAAATCTTTCTCTGTTACTTTATTACAACCGTCGACTAGAAAAGTTTACATTTCTAAGTGACGTAGCTGATTTTTATTGATACAAGAAAGATTAAGTGTGTTCATGGGATCTTGATTTTGTTTATTAAATGTATTCAGATAATTATGTATTTATGTTTTTTAAGTTTTATATTGAATTGCTCGTTCTCCTGTTTATTTGAAATCTGAGTTTATAATCATCAATAAATCCCTTTGTTATGTAAATAAATTGTATTGTAAATGCTGTACTCATTCTAGTTATTACATTATTCCGTTTGTCGGTCACCAGAGTTTTGGGTTGTGTATATCGTCCTCTCAATTGCTAGTTTATGGCACCTGATTCTAAACTGTCAGTGTCTTGATCTGTTGTCGAGTATTCTAGTGTATTTTGTTTTAAATATGCTTGTAAGTACGTAACTGGATTGATATGGTTGCAAGTTGTAAACAAATGTTATTTGCTTTGTTCTAGCGACAGACCCTCCACTTCCACCCATGGAGCTACCTCCATGCCTACCCTAAACACGAGAAGGGGTTCTCAAAAGGGGTTACCCATGAACGTCCTATATTTTTGTAGCTCGTTGTTCTTCAGATAATGAACGTCATGATAGTACATGTGATCTAGTTGCCATGGAAGTGTGTATTTTTCATATGAAACTTTTTTTGATATTTAAAAAAAATACAATATTTGAATACTCTTATAACTCTGGGTCGGCTCATATTGCGCTTTTATTGAAGGCTGAATTTAGGAGCGGTATATATAATTAACATTCACTAACTGCAGCTGCACTTCCCAGACATCGACTGAATCGTTTGAACCTTCAACTTCACCACTAGACTGACCCGGCCATGGTAATTTTATTTTCTGTTCCTAAATCGTGGTCCGACACGAAAATACCACGCCTCAACGCAGAAGATTCTACAAACTCGTTCTAATGGAAATGTATATAACAACAAAAATGACAAGACTGGGCCAGCCTACCTCTCCAACAACGGCAGTTCTCAGGCAAAGCTTAGACCGGGACTGCGGGCAATGCATGATCTGCTGCTGAAAAATAACTCTCCAAATAGCAAACCGCAAATATACTGAGGTTGACGACTCTGGCACATCTCTAAACGTGTTCAATGTAGGCACAGTCACACTACTAGGAGAGTGACTGTGATGTAGGGGATCGTGATATAGACTGTGATAAGATGAGGACTGCGTGTACTCGCAATGTCGTCCCGGTATGTCGTATGACAAAACAGTGAATTTTGATTTGATAACTGCAGACATGATGCACCTTGTGACAATGTTGTTAAACATTATTAATCCCAGTTAAGGATTGCACTATGACAAAAGACACTACAAGGAAATAAATAAATAAATAGTTTATCAACCTTTACATTGAAACCATCTGCTTTCATCTGTGTGTACCCCGTAATCTATGCGTGTTGAGGGTGGGCAAGGGGTATGTGTGTACCACGTAATCAGTAGTTTGTAATTGCGTGATTCTGTATTTTCAATAAATAAGACTTAATTCTGTATGGACAATGCGTGAAATGTAATCTACGAGTTTTATGTACTCGTAAACCGTAGAACGATTATACAATATCCAAGTTATAATCGATCACGTTAAAGTGTGTACGTATTAATCTCATTTGTTACTGAATGTTATGATTTCACGTGATTAATATATAATGACAACATTATATTCTGGTATAGTTTTGATTGAAAAGAAGGAATTTCGAATTTGTAAATCTGAGGTACCTTTCCCTGACGATATATGCGGTATATATGCAAATTAGGGGGCTTTATTTGTTTGTTTTTTACTGAAAATTTGCTTAAT